TTTGTTTCAATTCTATACAAGCTTTGTCACACCTTTCATCAAAATTGAATACAGCATCTTTCTTTAACAAATCCGTTATCGGTTTTGCAATCAGGGAATAGTTTTTTATAAACTTTCTGAAATACCCTGTCAGTCCAAGGAATGACTGCACAGTTTTCTCTTCTTTTCTGGAGACGGTCTTACTTCGTTGTCACAAATAATATATCCAAGATATTGGATTTCCTTCTTTAAAAAATGGCATTTCTTCCAATTAAACTCTAAACCGAATTCTTCGCTTCTTTTAAATACTTTCTCTAGCTTACTTATTCCTTCTTCTTCTGTTATCGAGTGTATGATTAAATCATCAAGGTACACTAGCAGTGTCCCATCGGTAATTAGATAGCTGAAGATATCGTTAATAAATCTTTGAAACACAGATGGCGCTGTACATAATCCATAAGGCATTCTTTGAAATTCGTACTGGCCTTGGGGTATTACGAATGAGGTGTACTTTTGACTATCTTTGTGTACTTTCACATGTAAAAAGCCATTCTTCAGATCAAGAGACGTGAACATTTTGGCCTCCTTCAACTTGTCTATCTGGTCTTCTATTATAGGTAGGGGAAATCTTTCTTTAATTACCTTTTTTATTTAATCGTCGATAATCTATACACATTCTACGTGACCCATCTTTTTTATCAGCCAGAACTACAGGACAGGCGAAATCAGATTTGCTAGGTTTGATTATTCCTTTGTCTAACCATTCTTTTACTTGCATATTCACGGCATTCATTTCTAAGGGTGACAAACGTCGGGGATTCTGAAAAACTGGTTCTTCATCGGTAAGTATTATTTTCAATTCAACGTTACTTTCTTTCTTCTTTTCACTAGGTCTGTACTCTTCACACATCTTACGAATCTTTTCCGCGTATTTAGAATCTCCTATATCATATTCTTGTTCATTATCCTTTTCCTCCATTAGAAGTGTAAGATGCATAATCTTTTGTATAAAGACACCTTCAGGAGTGAAACACACTTCGAAATCTTTAAGGATAGGATTTCCAATCAGTAAAGTTACCGGTATCTCGTTGTCATTTACAACATGAAACTTGACATCTGTGTAGTAATTGTCAATTTGAACATTGGCTGTAAACATTCCTTCAGTAAGAATTTGTTTTTCGGCTATTCCTGTTATACACGTTGATTCTGTTTTATAATCTTTAATTCCCTCTTTAACCTTCTCGAATTCTGATTTTGTTATGAGGTTAATATCACTTCCAGTATCTATTAAGGTAACAAATTCTTTACCATTAATCTTTATCTTTTTGTAGGGTACTTTCTCTTCTTCACTCTTATTTCTAATTTTCAGCGTCTTCTTAGGTTTGCTTGTACATTCAGTTGATTTGTGACCAAATTCATTGCATTTAAAGCATTTGACTCCCTTTGGACAGGTGGGCGATTGATGATCCAGTTCGCCACAGTTGTAACATCTTTTTACATGAGTCATCTTACGGGTTGAATGATGCCCATGTGATTGGCCAGACTGTGCCGATTTGTTAGGCACCTTCGTTCTAAAAGCACTGTAGATTTCTAACTTCCTGCGAAAATCCTTTATGTCTGTAGCGCCATATAAAATAACTTTATTGGTCTCTAGATCACGAATACCATCAATGACATACTCAATCAGCGCAGCGTCTTCAACCTTGCCATGAAGTGCTAATTCTTTCATAGACAGGAAATATTGTTGGTAAGTTTCATCGTTCTTCATCTTACGCGATGCAAGTTTCTTATGTATGATTGCGCTATTAATCTTGGGGCCAAATTCTTCCTTAAGTGACTTTTTCAAACTCGCGTAGTCCTTTATTCTTCCCAAAGATCGTAAAAATAGCTTGGCAGTACCGTCTAAAAGTCTCTTTGCGTAGACCAGCTTCTCGACTTTAGTCCACTTCATTATTTCGGCAGTATCTTCAAATTCGTCAATAAATGTCTCAATAGGATAGGTGTCATCTCCAGTAAAAATGTTCATTGACTTCTCCAAGTCTTTAAATGAAATCTGTATATCTAACTCCTGCCCTTCATCTTCACTTTCTTTTACATCTTTCTTCGGCGGCATTGTGGTTGTCAAACTACTATTAGTCTTTCTTTTTTCTAGTCGTGCAAAATGACAGCTTATTTGAACTCATTAAGTTTTCAGTCCTTAAAATAAATTTTCATATCCAAATTCCAAAACGTTGTAATAAATCTTCAAATCTTTAGTCTTCGTCTCGCCTCAAATTTTGGGCTATCCCGGACGAGCCCCCAAAGTTGTGGTGATATTTCAAGAATTTGAGACGAAACACTCACTTTTATACTGCTTTTTTATTTTCATTAAGTCACAAAAAACATATTACATCTTACTATCTTGATTACAATGACATTTTTTTTAAAAGTGACATCTTACAATTTTATTTTCAGTTCAATAATCAAGGAGGTCAATATTCTACAACAAACAATAAAAACAAACTACTCATTGCTAAATTATCCCACATATATTTCCTATCAAAAATGTGTATTTCCTATCAAAATATGCTATTATTATTAACATAATGTTTTCGTACTACATACATATATACATACATACGTACATATTACAATTAGACTCACTTTTGTCTATGGGTTTCCATTGCTTTGCAAAAAATCTTCTTTTTAAAATAACATATTTTCGGTTTCTGTATAAAATATTTGGATTTCTGTATAAATACCTAAATATATTTGGATGACAAGTGGCTCAGTAAAAGTAAAACAACACTGTTGAAAAAGTACTGATTATAAAATTTACGATTCCCTCTATTGCGGCATTTGCTGATTTGGGCATCTATTAAAAGCAAGACACTCAAGTGTGAAGTGTAAACGAGATTCTGGGGCACAAATCGGTTCGTATAAATTGTAAGTTCGGCGAACGTATCCATTGTAATTGTCGTACGCGCTAGCCGTGATTGCAGCAAGAGTTAACACATAATACATTACAGTTTGTGTCACAACACAATCAAGCTCGGCCGAGGACGAATCAGGCGCCGAGGAGCGTAATCTGGGTTAACAGGGGTCAAACGGCATCACAAATTCCAATACGATATTAGACCTATCTGTAGCGCGAATCGACCGCTCTACGTGCGGTGCGCGGTGCGTTATTAGCTTCCTTGTTTATACACTTGTTGATCTAGGGCTTGAGGAGGACATACTTTTGTTTTTAGTCATGCGAGGCCTATTCTAAGTAAGACTTCATTTGCTTATTTCAATAATGTTTCATCAAATAGCGACGTTTAATTTATCACTAAATATTATGACAATTTTTTTATTTTGTCATAATTTTTATATATTTATGGTTGTAGCACAAATGAGTTGGCTCGACTGGTAGAAACACGCTCTTACAGAATACTAACGTAAAAATATCGCATGGTGAGTGTAGAGAACCGGAGACACTTTTAAAGGAAACGAGGCATTCCATATCAGTCCTCAGGGGTTGCATCTGTATCTTATTTATCATTTGAGGATAAACGTAGCTGTTTATAGGCCATAGCATTCACTTACCATCAGGTGGACTGTGTGCTCGTTTGTCACCCTCATTCTATAAAAACTCTACTTTAATAAACGTACCGCACAGAACTTTTTCGATAAATCGATTGATAGGATGGGTATGATTAAAGTTATAAAATAAAATGTAAACGTAAATACGAGTAAAGACTGAGATTTTAAAATGCCCACGATAGCATCTTGCCTATAATAGTATTACGGCGGTATTCCATGCATCTTGAATAATTAATCAAGTATTATAACGCAACTATGTTGCTCTACTGGTATAATTTTGCGTTTAAGCATATATATGTTTATTTTATTAACATACTAATTGAGTTGGTCGAGTTATTGGTAAATGAATAAGAATTAGACTACGGTATTTTTGTCACAAAAATAGTGAATAACAAATAAATAAGCTCTTAATATTAATATTAATTTCGGGAAATCATTAGACAGTATATCTTTAATGCTTCCCCATTTATTTATGCTGCTTTTTATCGATTAGAGAGCGACATTCTGGTTAAAAAAATGCCATAATCGCTCTGGAGTTTCAAGCTAGTAATACAAACCCTCTTGGCTGGCAAAAGGCTTTCCTGACGTCTAGTGGCTACATAACGTATATCACGGGTACAAAATTCATTGTACATTTAATTTTTCAACAATTTTTTTAAAATAGTTCTTGTATCGTTATTTCCAAATAATTCTTTTATAAACAGACAGAAATTTGTTTCCAATTAATTTGGCATAACGAGGCAGTCATAAATAATTGAAACGAGTCCGTAAACGCTGGTACATTTCGTTTAAATAAATGCGTTTAAAATGGCATGTTTGTGCATGTTTAACCTTATTAAGCGGTTGGACACAGATTTACCATTATGTGGTCAAATCGTCATCCAGCAACAATATTCAATGAATGTAATCAGTGTGGCTCATCAACGGTTTGTATTGACTGACGCAACGGACAAGTGTCCAATTTGCATCTCGATTTATTTTAAGTGGTCAAACTTTTTTTAGATTAAATACGTACGGTCTATGGTTTCAGAGGTGCTTGTGTAGATCTAGTAGAAACTGTTAAATGTTCGGTTATGTATTTCATATACAGGATTATTTTGCTATAACCGGCCAAATTTACAGAGAATGTTCAGAATAAGTAATGTAGGCAAATGGTGAAGAAAAATTAATTTAAAAAACTTCAAACTGTCTGTCCGTTATGTCCAGTCGGGTAATTATTTTTAAATGAAATAAGGGTGACAAACGAGCACACAGTCCACCTGGTGCTAAGTGGATGCTGTGGCCCATAGACATTTATCCTTGATAGAGAGTCAAAATGCAGATGCGTTGTCAACCCTGATGACTAAGATGGAATGCCTCGTTTCCGGTAAGGAATCCTCCGGTAATTATTACCACGGTGTCGATATAGCATTGTTTTAAATTTATGGTAAGGTATGTAATCATCATTATTTTTACAGAATTTGTCTTCGGATCTTCGCCGCAGTAAGACTCCTCCCCGCCGATCCCCAGAGGAACGCGCAGTACCGCGCCCTCCATCGGCGCCGGTTCACCACGATCGTGGTCCACATACGCCCCACACGCCCCACACGCCCCGCCACATACGCCGCATCTTTCACCCAAGAAAGAGGCTTTCAATAACCTACTCAATAAAGGGATTTCAGGTAAATATTTTCTGTTTTAAATTTTCTATAATAAGCTCCTATTCTACGTTCATTACTTTACAGAGACGCGGAATTATTGCTCTACGACCCTTAGGTTAGGTTAGGTTTGCTGTAGGACTAACACAGTCTGTACAATTTACATTATATAGACAAAAGTTAAATTAAATACTACTGTACCTACTTGCTCTATGCACATTTCACTATTGGACAGATGCCGTCATGGAGGTTATAGAGAAGGAGAACGATGGACGTAGAAAATAATTTCCCAGAAATATAGACAAAATAAGTGAGGCGCTGCGATCGCTAAGTTGTCTCAATAAAAGTAATTTTCAGTCTAGTTTTCTGATAAGATGCTAAACCACTTGCACATCCACGCACAATACATTATTTCACCATTGTTTCATGTTTCTTGTTGTCAAAAATTAAAAAAAATTACGGAGCACGATTATTTTTTCACCAATGGCGCGAAGAAAATTTGTGTACATTATTCAACTAACTTCATCTACTTGTACTCATAAACAGCTAACTTCGCAGATACTACTTACCGACGGCAGTGCTTTTTGTACGTAGCGATCGTTCTCCTTCTCTCTAACCTCCATGGACGCCATCTATAATTCTTGCGTAGGTTTTATGCCAAGGAAGAGTCCGTCACGCTAACCTATTGCATGTTAGTAGACTATTATATGTTATTAGTATTACATGTTCTCGAAAATATCTTTTAATTTCTTAGACATGTATGTTTATTCACAATTTTTTTCTTAACCGCCGATCAGCATTTGATATTGAAATAAGCGTTCTCAGTAGTTCAGAATCGTAGGCCATGCTCGTAAAGGACTTTACAAAAAACAAAATGAGTCTTATATAACAATATGAAACCATTAATGTAAAATATTTTTCCAAGACCCAAAGTAACGCCTTATATATATATATATATATATATATATATATATATATATATATATTACAACATGTAACATAATGAACGCACTTTGAGAAAGTAGTTTGTTCAGAATCGTTTACTGAATCTATTCCTATAATTTTTAATACAAGTAATTTTTTATCCCAAAAATAATTAAAACTACGTAAATTGCAGTCACACTAAATGCGCACAGTCAAAACAAACTGAAATGGACCGTAAGTTAAGGCAATAAGACTTCTAAGAGTGCAGTTTTATTTGTATTATTACTAATTCTGTCATTCAATAAAAATAAAGAACAATGAACTTTATTTCAAGCACGTTAAAGTCTTTGCGTTCGTGGATTTGTAGTGTGACCACAACATTCTTCCGGAATTAGTATAACTAATTTGATAAATAATCAGTGCATAAAAATGTTTAACTAAAAATTCAGTGTATGCATTATGATTATAACATAATGTACTAATTACGTTACATATTATATATATATATATATATATATATATATATATATATATATATATATATATATATATATATATATATATATATATATATATAAGGCGTTACTTTGGGTCTATAGCATTATAATTTAAATTGAAAATTTTAAATACCCCCGAAACAAAAAAATCTGATGATCTTCCAGCGGCTGAACTGATTTTGATAAAACATGTCTAAGAACCACCGTTAGAAAACCTGATTTTAAATAAAAAAAAACCGCATCCAAATCGGTTCACCGGTTTAAGAGCTACGGTGTCAGATAGACAAACGGTCAAACTAATAACATCCCTCTTATTCGACGGGGGTTAAAAATATTGTTCATATAATTATTAGATACTATTTAATATGTTAGTTCGAGTTCTTTTGGAAATTGGCAAGGATAAAAAGATTTTAATTTTGTATTTTTATAGCACACACGATTTATACTAGCTTGACCTGTATGTATGAATGTAATGAAGTTTTGTTATCCATTCCACTCACTATCTTCCAAACGTCTGATTTTTCTAAATACGTATTACTATAGACGTATTACGGACCAATAAAAATGACAATACAATAATATTTATATAATTTTAAACGCTTTTAATATTTTTCTTTCTTTTAAGTATAGTAATGATATTTTAACATTTATTAGACTTTTATATACTTCTAACGATTTGCCCCACCTTCGCGGAAGTGCAACCAATATGTTGACAAAGTTTTACCGCAATCCGATGAATGCTATGACCGCGCATAAAATAAGTAGAAACAAAAATTACTTTTTATATCATTATCATCGTCATCACATCTATAAAAGTCCACTGCTGAACGTAGGCCTCCTCGATGGGTGATTTTGCCAGTTAGCAATTGCAGTCTTTATTATTTTAAGTTGTTGTCAGGAAGGGTGCTGCGTATCTCCTATTTTAACTATTATCTACTATTCCATATCGTTCCGTGGATATTGTAAGAGGCGACATAGGAAAATTGAAATAGGAAATCAGCTGCAGCAACTTTTTTTTTAAATGAGATTAGGGTGACAAACGAGCACACAGTCCACCTGATGGTAAGTGGTTACTGCGATCTGTAGACATCTGCATCTACCCTCGATTTCGAATCAAAATGCAGATGCGTTGTCACCCGTGAGGACTAAGATGAAATGCCTCGTTTCCAGTAAAAAAGGGTCTCCGGCTCTCTACACTCACCATACGAAACACAGTTTTTACACTGGTATTCTGTGAGAGCGTGGCCCTTCCCCGGTCGAGCCGACCCATTCGTGCTACAGCTATACCAGTAATATAGCTGCAGCATGGCTCTACCACGCATAAAAGTTAGAACACTTACTGTAATAATGGGACAAACACGTAGTCATCTGAACTTACTCGTTAACTGCCTACCTTGTATGTATTATTAAGTTTGCTATGCAAGTTGTTCAATTACCAATTTAAACGAAATAATCGGAATTAAACATTTTTATTAAAATAAAATAAACAGAATCCCAACTCAGACGCAAACTTAACACACTACAAGAATTTATGTAACATCGTATAAAAAAATAACCACTAAAATTTTACGCCTTTACAAAAATTGTCTACATTGCAATTTTGCGACCATATCGATGGTTGTACCATTCCATCTTCCTGATAACACCCTTAAATTATAAAAACGCTGCGATTGCCAACCCGGGCGCCAAGCGGGCAACTATGGCAAAATCCACTCTATGATTGAGGAGTTCTGCGGTGGACTTTTATAGGCTGTATAAGATGAATGAATTGGTAACTATGGATGGAGATAACAATCAACAGCTGGAACATGATAAGTTCCAAGTTTCCCAGCATCGTAGCAATATAAAATATTATGTTAATAAAATTTTTGTTTGTAACATCTGACAGCCAATATCTACATATCTGAATCATCATTAAATTATCAAGTTTTCATAAACAAATTATAATTTTATTAATACGAATGGCTTTGAAAAATTCCATCAAATTAAAAAAGGCGTTGAGATGCTTTCAACGAGTGCATTAAAACAATAAAATCGAAAAATATTATGTTCTACGAGACGCGTGTATAATTTTAATATTTTAAAACTTAACAGTTAATTATTAGCATAAACACGTATTGAAGCTTGAATAAATATAGAATAGAATAATTTTCCATATTGTTATATTAACTGAAGTTAACGCAGTGCTAGGATATTTTATAATTTGTTAAAACTTATTCCATGATAGTTTTTTTTAAATAATTAGTAAACTTATTTGCTTACGACTGACTACTACTTGTTCTGAAGCAAGTAAACTATTATAATTTACGTAATATAAATTTATATTTTATTATTTTAACAATTTGTCTATTTCAATAAAAAAATAGACCACCTAGTAAAGTTCAAAAATTTGGCGTACGCAGGGAAGAACCAGCACTCTGTTTTTTTTTAATGAATTTTCTAACCTATTGCAAAGGGCTTAGTAAATGAATAGCCTATCTAAAAGCATGGGCCTCCTTAACTCCTCCATAGATATCAAGATAGTTATCATGAAGATGCCACTACCCATCTTAATGAGTTTTAAATATATAAACAAACATTTAAAACGTTTATCCAGCTAATTACTATCGGAAAGAAACTCATAAAGGTTTTAAAATTATTCGTATGAAAACTTTTAAAGAGCAGTAACTGTAATTTATATCAATTTCATAATGATTCGTGTAGTGGATAACAACACCGAAAGCTGCATGAGCACTTATAGAGGCTGTTTATTCCCGGTCACGCGTCGTCCTCTGGGCCCTTTTGTATAGAGACAGTGCTCATCTATCGTTAATCTGATGCTTTAATTGATATACCGATATCTTTTACGTTGTTGATCTTAAAAGTGACTAGAATCGCCCCACAGTCGATCGATGGGTAATTTAGATAAAAACCTTAGTGTACCGGAAGCGTTATCGTTACATATTTTAATAGAATCGATCTTCTAAATAAAAATGTTGGCGATCGTACCCAGTAGTTCTCTCACTTTTGTATCACCAAAATAGTGTTTTATGAGTTTAAAACATGAATATGTCACTAATTTAACATCGAATGTCGTTTGTGCCGAACTTGACAAATTTTTCAAATTAATGTTTTTATGTGATTTACTTTTTCAATACACTACTTAAAATAATTTATTCATTAGGTCTGTATCAATTAGTAAATAATATAAACAAATAAATAAAATGAGAAAATAATAAATTCCACATTACCGAAGTATTAATGTTCCGACGACAAAAATTTACATGGTAATTGTTTTATTCTTTTAATTTTTTGCTAAATATTTAATTTTTTTATCATTTAAAGTGGAGCAGTAGCACAAACTAGTTTACACAAGCCAATTGTTTCTCATATATAAATCAGTTGACACTTGAATCCGTGACTTTCCCGGCGTTCTTACGCTTGTATTTTTGCATTTAGGAACAACACACCAATGACAAAGATGATTATTATAATAGGTATGATGATTTTCCTTCCTAAAATCTTTTTCTCAGAGTACTTACTGGCATAAAGAGAGATCTAAAATAAGAACCAATATGGTTCTTATTTTTATAGTTGAACTCTTTATACGTGTGACGTTTAACA